TCGCACGCGCCGCCGGCCGCGCCCGCCCCCCCCACCGCGCGATTGGCCCGCCGCAACGCCCCTCCGGCCGCTCCTCCAATGGGAGGCGGGGGGCGGGACTAAGGGGCGCTGAGGTGGCTGCGCGTGTGCGGCTGAGGGCTGAGGGGGTGGCGGTACCGGGGCCGGTGGAGGGCTGCGGCTCCCCGGTGTCCCCAGGTCACAGAATCACACAGAATTTCTAGGTTGGAAGAGACCTCAAGATCATTCGAGTCCAACCTCTGACCTAACACTAACAGTCCCCACTAAACCATATCCCTAAGCTCTACATCTAAACGTCTTTTGAAGACCTCCAGGGATGGTGACTCCACCACCTCCCTGGGCAGCCCGTTCCAGTGCCTCACAACCCTTTCAGTAAAGAAGTTCTTCCTAACATCTAACCTAAAACTCCCCTGGTGCAACTTAAGCCCATTCCCCCTCGTCCTGTCACCAGGCACATGGGAGAACAGGCCAACCCCCACCTCTCTACAGCCTCCTTTAATGTACTTATACAGAGCAATAAGTTCGCCCCTGAGCCTCCTCTTCTCTAGGCTGAACAAGCCCAGCTCCCTCAGCCGCTCCTCGTAGGACTTGTTCTCCAGGCCCCTCACCAGCTTCGTCGCCCTTCTCTGGACCCGCTCAAGCACCTCCATGTCCTTTTTGTAGCGAGGGGTCCAAAACTGAACACAGTACTCGAGGTGCAGGCCTCACCAGAGCCGAGTACAGGGGGACGATCACCTCCCTAGCCCTGCTGGTCACAGTGTTTCTGATACAAGCCAGGATGCTGTTGGCCTTCTTGGCCACCTGAGCACACTGCTGGCTCATATTCAGCCGACTGTCCACCATCACTCCCAGGTCCTTCTCTGCCTGGCAGCTCTCCAACCACTCATCTCCCAGCCTGTAGCTCTGCTTGGGGTTATTGCGCCCCAGGTGCACCCCAGGTGCAGGTCGAGGCGCTGCGGTGCAGGCACGGAGCTCTGCACAGCTCTCGCCTGCATGTGGGCCCCTCCAGAGCGTGGTTCCTGTAGGTCCCAGGCCGCGGGCAGGCAGCCCAGCATGGAGCAGGCCCCTGCACAGCCCTCACCGGGCTGGGGACGCGGCGTGTGGCGGCTGTGCCGAGGGCGGCCCCGCTGTGTGCCCCATGTGCCTGAGGCCGGGCCGGCAGCAGAGGAGGTGGCCGTGGGGCCGCTGCTGCGGGCGAGCAGCACACGGGGCTGGGAGCCCCCCAGGAGGCAGCTCAGAGCCGCGGGATTCATCCCCGTGCTGGCAGCAAGCGCCAGGGCAGCCCGTGAAGCCCCAGAGCTTTCCCCCAGCCGTGTTCGCAAGCGCTCGGTCTCTTCGTGCTCCTCATTTAGCCTTAACCTCCCTTGCAGGACGGTGAATTGCTCCGCTGCAGCAGGCAGTGCGTGGGTTGTGCACCAAGAGCCAGCGAGGCACTTAATTGCTCTAATAAATCATGGGCTGAAGCGATGGAAAGGAGCTGAAACGCTCCGCCGGCTTCGGTGTGCTGTTTTGAAGGCTGTCCAGGAGTCCTGGTGGACTTCAGGCTCTGCTGCCCTAGTTAAGGCGGGGTGGGAGCGCGGCGGTGCAGCGAAGGAGATCGCCAGAAGGTGGTGGTGTGGCTTTGGGAAAGGCGGGGAGAAGGCACGGGGAAAAGCTCGGTCTTGTCCCAGCTGCTGTGCACCGGGAGAGCCCGGCAGCAGCTCTCTGAGCCCTTACATCCTCGTCGTTATTGTCACCAGTCCGGCACTGATCCGACCCTTCTGAGGGTGGCAATTTCTTGGTGGCTCACGTCCTTTCCCCTAATCAGTTAGGGCCTAATTGCATCAGGCTGAAGGATCGTTCCCTGCCCATCGCCTTGGGGCTCCAGGAGAGCTCTCAAGGGACCCAAAACTTCCCCCCCTGGCAGCCAGAGTCACCAAAGAACTTCCCATAGCCCAGCCCGGGACAGCGGTGGCACCCCGGGCAGGCTGCTGGGAGCTGTGCAAGGGCTTTCAGAATTTCCCTGCAGCCAGGAGCTGCTTAATTTCCCCATGCATAATGGCTGTTCTGCATTTCCCCTGCTCTCATGTGAATTTTGGGAACTTTGCGGGGGAAGGATGTGTGCGAATTTGCAGTTGGGCTGGGAGAGGGGAGCTGCAGCAGCGTGCTCCAGGGTGGCTGCGTGCTGCAGGCGGGCGGGGAGCTGCTGCTTGCTGTCCCAAGGAAGATGCTACAAAGTGAAAAGATCGCTGGTTCGGCCTTTCCTCCTACAGGCTCTGAACGAAGGGACCGACAGAGCAGCCTGGAGGAATCCATCCCTGTTGCAGCTGTGCTCCAGCGGCTGATCGGGGGAACCAGAGGAAGGCAGAGGGCCATGGGGTGGTGGCACAAGAAGTGGGAGCACGGAGAGCTCTGCCAGACCCTGTGGGGGTGCCTGGAAAAGACGCTTCCTCCTGCTGCCTCAGCTCCTCACTGCTGAGACGCGGCTGCTAACGCTGCTGCGCTCCTTGCGTGGGGCAGAAACACTGAGCGGTGCCTCCGAGGTGCTCGGTTGCTATGGGGATGGGGATCTGGGGAAGTGCAGAGGCTGGGGAGCCTCGGTGAAGATTTGAAGTTGCTGGAGCTCCTCCGTGCCGTGCTGCGTCATGCCGTGCCGTGCCATGCCGTGCTGTACTGCTCTGTGCTGTGCTGTACTGCACTGGGCCATGTTGCACCATACTGCACCGTGCCGTGCTGTGCTGTATTGTGCTGCGCTCTCCCACCTGGCAGAGCCTCAAGGGGCTGGCATCAATCCCATGGTGGCTGCAGCACACAGTTCCCGCGTAGTCCCAGTTGCTGCTGGCCCATGAAGAGCAGCGCACATCTCCAGAGCACCTCTATATTCCTGGGTGAAAACTAGACTTTCTTTCCAGCGTTTCCTTTCTTATGGCAACTGAGAGCTCTTTGGAATATGGTGCGTTCAGGAGCTGTGCTGCCATCCCCTTTAAAGAGATGAGCGACAGCCAAGATGAGTTCCACTGAGCCCTCCTGCTATGAACTGACAGGTTTGAGGAGACCCCGCTCCTCTCCCTGCCTTTCTGCTCTTGCTGAAGGGCTTCTGCTAATGAAGAGCCATTCCTCTGCGAGGCTCTGGCTGTTAGCTCTGTGCAGGCAGCTCTGCAGCTCAGTGGAGGAGATCCCAGCAGACGCGGACCCACGGATCAGGGATGGATGCGTCGAGCACACAGCTCCTCGTGGAGCTCAATGTCTGGAGCCCCTCAGCACAGCAGTCAGGGTCCAGGAACAAAAACACAGAGTATCAGTGGTGAATTTATTCTACCAAAACCAGATCTGCAGTACTGGAAGCAGTCACGAAGCACTAAAACTGTTTTTTTGCTGCCCACCCCATGCTTGGCAGTGGGAAGCAGTGTGAGGAGGAAATATCAGGAGATTGCCAGTGAGGTCCCTCGCTGTTCAGCCTTGTCTTTGATCTTTACATTTTCATTTAGGACCTCGGCACAGGCCTGAGGAGCGCTGGTAGCTTTTCTGATCGTGCCAAGTTTTCTGGAACTGCTGCAGTCAGTACAGATGGGGATCAGGAGATCAGGGAGATAAAAATGATGGGGTGAATTGGGATGAAATTAAGTGCCACAATGTTTGAGAATATGCACTTGGAAACTAAAAACAACATTTTCTTCTACAGTCTGGAAAACATCTCAGTTGTGCGAGTGAATCATAGGAAGGCTATGAGCAGGGGCTGGGTGCTGGGATGCTGGAGATAAATGAAATCCTAGAATGCAACAAGTCTGCATTTCCCGTCCAGATGGGGAATGTCTGGTTTGGAGCACAAGGCACTGGGAGGCTCACCTGGAGCACCCTGTGCCTCTGTTCAGGACGAGATTCAACCCAGGGGGACAGGCAGGGAAGGTGGTGAGGAAAAGAAGGTGGTAATGAAGCTGGTGAGGGAAATCCTACAAGAGCTTATTTTACAGGAGACCAAAGGACTGCTTGCTCAGACTAGGAGAGAGGTCTGAGAGCAGGCAGTAAATAGCAGGGGAATGATAAAGAATGAATAAAAGGGTGAAGTCGGCAGTATATCACATGGGTACAAAACGTTGTGCATGGGGCAAAGCCGCTTTGAAATCTGGAGAGAAAGAGCATATCTGCCATGTCCCTCCGGGAGAACTTGCAGATGCCAGTAAGCTTCTTCACGGATTAGGTCGATGGAAAGTAGATGCCTCCAACCAAAGCCCAGGCTTAAGGCACGGCCTGAACCAGAGGCAGAAGACACTCAGGAATTTGGTCTGTGCAGGAGGGACGTCTCTGGGGCTGGGCAAGGGGAAATGGATGAGCAGCTGCAGACCCCCTGCAGGGGCCAGGGAACCATCAGAAGCACCGATCAGGCGACCCGGGGACGGTGCTGGGCTCGGGCTTTGCTGAGCGAGGAGCGGGCGCTGGGCTGGCACGTGCTGCCTGGTGCCTCCTGGGCTCGCAGGCGCCGGGCTTTGCACGTCCTTCGTGCAGAGCCAGCCTGTGCCAGCACCACGAGCAGCTCTGCCCGGCAGGCTGCGCGCTCTGGCTAACCCCGCAGATCCTGGAGAGCACCAGGGTAAGGGTAAAAAACCCGCAGGGGTGGACACGCTGCTGCGGATTTCAGCCAAGAGCTGTCACCAACATAAAGCTCATCTCCCGAAAATCTGCCCCCTGCTAACGGGGGAGACTTGGGAGCGAGGCTGACCTCTTTATTCACCCGCAGGCACCCATGGGCATGTGCTGGGATCAACCCCCAGCCCCCAGCTCCCCAGCCTGCCAGCTTGTGCATTTTTGCGTGTTTTTCTCACTACGTTGGCCCATTGCCTTTAAAAGGCTAAATGCTCCGGACTAAATTTGGTCATGCAGCTCTGCATGGTTCCCTGGAATGTCCTCGGGTTTCAGGCTGCTCTGATAGCACCATTCCCCGCCTCCCGCTGGGCTCCATTGGCTTCCCCGCACCCGAATCGCCGCTGGGCGCTGTTATTGGCCAACTCTTGGGCTGAGGGGTGTCCTCTCTTCATCACTACCAAGCCCCGGGGCTGCAGCGGTTGAGAGCTGCTGCGATTTAACGCTTCAGCACCTGCTGCCGCTGCGGGGAGCAGTGTTAGAGCTTCGGCTCTGTTTTTTTTCTCTTGCTTTGGGTACCACAACAACCGCAACCGTGTCTCGCCAACGGGCCAAGATGTCCAAAGTTGCCAAATATCGGCGACAAGTGAGTGAAGATCCGGACATCGACAGCTTGTTGTCGACTCTGTCTCCAGAGGAGATGGAGGAGCTGGAGAAGGAGCTGGATGTGGTGGATTCGGATGGAAGCATCCCTCTGGAGCAGAGTCAGAAAAACCAAACGGAGAATTCGCCGACCAGCCCGCAGAACTGCGACGCGGTGCTCAACCACTGTGAGAAGGACACCAAGAAACGTCTCCAGAGGGAGCAATCGATAGACGTAAGTCCCATCTCCCCGCTTTTCAGCTGGCTCTCGGGCACACCCGCGAGTTGGGGCTGTTTTAGGGGACGAGACGGAAAACGTGAGCTCCGTGAGCGGTGTGTGGTGCGTGCTAGAGAGGAATAGCTGTCATGGAGAGACCAGAGCATGAGGCGGGGAGCTGGTCTGGCACACCAGGAGCCAACAGGGGATTTCACGAAATCTCTGAAAGCCAAAACTGGTGCTGGTGCCAGGGGGGTTCTCTCTGCCTCTTCTCCAGCATCCTGGGGCAGGGCTGGTGGCAGAGGTGGCTTCTACAGCCAGAAGAAGGCTGGAGGGGCGGCTGCAGTGACAGCGACCCTGCGGGCTGTGTTTCTCTGTCCTCCTGCTTTTGCCTTTGGAGATCTCCAGATTTTTGGTCCGTTCAGTTCCTCTTGTGCAAAAGCTCAAACAGTTTCTGGTTCTTGTGGAATAAAAAAAGAGCAAAGTTGGCTAATTTGTGAAAATCACCCTAAGAAGTGGGTTATGTCCTAAGCCATTTGTTTCCTCTTTATTGTTCAGTTAAAACACATTCTTTTATTTTGATTTGGGCACATTTATCTCCTTCTCTGCACTTGGCAAATCCTTTAAGAGCTCGCCTTGAGCCAGAAAGCTTCATGCCAGTCCCTCATCCCGCCTATTTGTGCCTCGCCTCAGTGGGAGCCAGTCCCACTTCTCTGTAACATTTATTAACCTCCGCACTAAGAATATTTGGTATGTGCTCGGTGCGTGGGAGGCTGGGAAGCATTTGGTTTCCCTCGTTTTTTTATGACAAGCTGAGCCAGAAAGCAAAAGAAGGGGACCCTGCAGCTATTTTTCTGCGGAGCACAGGCAGGTTTTGTGTCCCAGGCTGGGTCCGCATCCTCGGTGCAGGGGCTGAGGAGCCTCACAGGGGGAGCGGAGCAGAGCCATGTGTGAGCTCCCCAGAGCTTCTCTGGCTCTGCTGCCCTGTCCCAGGGCACCCAGCAGCACCCTGCAGAGTAATCAAGCTCTACGTGGCCTGGGAGCACCTGGAAGGCTCCCTGGGGATGTGTACAGAGCTTATTATAGGACCCCCTCTTCTGACTGGGGTCTGGGGTGCAGCCAGGATGCAAACAGGGAGAGAGAGAGATGAAAACTGCAGGAGAAGTAAGAGCAGGTTGGTTCTGGAGACCTGCACGAGGGGTTAAGCAGTTCTCCCAGCTGCCGGGGAGCTTTCCCCTGGCAGCGAGGACACGGCACTGGCAGCCTTCACCTTCTATATGTGGTGTTGGCGTGGGCTGGGGGACCAATTCCCACTGCTGGGTCGCTGCAGAAAGCGCTGTGCCCCTGGCTGAGGGCACCGCACTCACCTTCCTCCGGCGGAGAGCTGCCAGCACAGCAGGACGGGCCTGCCCCAGTCATCCCAGTGGCATCGCAGGGGTCTGCACTGGTTTGCAAGGGTTGGCACAGGGAGGAGAGGTGTCCTGGGAGTGTGCTGTGCAAGAGCTGGCGGGGAGCACAGTGAGGGAGCTCCTGGCAAAGGCTCTCCCTGTGCTCCCGTTTCAACATCGGTAGATTTGGGCATGTGGAGGACAAAGCAGATGGGCTTCCCGTCAAATTGGGCAGCGAAACTGGCCCCGTTAGATCGCGCTGCGGTAACTGGATATTGCAGAACTGGCTTTCTTCTTCTATTTCAGTCCCTGGAGGGTAAGAAAAAATACCCTCCATCCCTTCCTCCCTGGCATTGTTGGGACCTGGGATTAGCACCCAGAAGGTGCCAGCGCCGGCAGGTCGGGCCCCACCGGGCTCTGCCGTGAGGAGCAGGGGGCAGGACGGGATCACCGGGACACCGGAGTGCTCGAGGAGAGCAGCCCCGCAGGCAGAGCGCTCCCCATGCCCCGGGGGGGTGTTTTGGATGAAGTGAGTGCGTGGAGCCCTCCGGAGCATCCCGCGGCTCCCAGCTCTCAGCCGGCTGCTGGGAGCTGTGATGACAGCTCCCTCTCCATATCAGCAGATTTCGCGGTGCCGTGGGCTGCAATTCGCTTGTGCCCACCGGCAGGAGTGCCACGGGTTTCGCACAGCGGGTGGTGGTCAGGCTGGGTGCCGACATTGCCCACCCAAACCTCTGCCCCTTGGCAGCTCTCAGCCCTCTGCACCCTCAGGCACACAGCATCCCCCGTGAAATGCATCGAGCGAAAGCGAGTGAGAAGCAGGAGCCTGAGCACGGGGAGGTGTTGTCCTGCCTCTGGGCTGTCCCTGCAGCAGGTGGAGGCTGGCATCTTGTCCTGCAGCTACAGGTCCCCAGGTCCGCAGCTGCCTTGCACAAAGGTGCAGAGGATAGAAAATATTCGGGAGTTCCCTGCACAGCTCCGCTCATTGCCCACCGTTCGTTGGTGCAGTTGCTCGTGGGGTTTGGGTGCCAGTGGGGACAGCAGGAGCTGGCCAAAGGGGAAGGAGGTGTTGTAAAGGGAAGGGGTTTTAAAGGCAAGGGCTCAGTGCCGGCCAGTCTCACGGTTCTTGCAGGCGTTTCTCTGCTCTTGGACCTGCTCCAGGCACCCCAATTCCCTCCTCAGCGTTGGGTATATTTAGAAATATTGTAACTTCACAATAACATGTCGTCTTTCTCTGTGATGAAAAGGGCAAACTTGGGTAACTAGGAAGCAGTTTATAAACAGCTCAAAATAGATGTGAGCTTTGCCCTGACTTCTCCACACCGTGCAGCCAAATTCATATCTCGGTGATGCATTAATTAATTAATCTTCATTAAATATTGCTGGCGTGTGAAGGCATACCCCTGTTCAACCATGGAGCTCGGGGCTGTGCCTCTCCTCGGATGCACTCAGCACGGCCTCTCCGCAGGCCCAAGTACCAAGGGAGCCATGGTTAAACCAATATTAAAACAACGGGATAAATGAGGTTTTTAATGGTTTGTGGCTTTTTCATGTAGCAGGCAAAGACATAATGAGAGAGAAATTTGGGTTACAAACACGGCAGAGTTTGAAGCAGTGGCATTAAGCGGTGAGTTAGCAGGGGCCCAGCTGACTTGCTGTTTTTTTTGCACTTGAAATTTTTGTATCGTGCCTGGGATTCCTCTTCAGAGGAGGAGAAACTGAGGCAGGGCCTGGTGCGTGCGGTGTCTCTGGGGGGGGGTTGCTGCCAGGAGAGCTGGGTGAGGGCTGCGACTTGGGAGAGCTGCTCCAGCTGGCTTTGTCTGCCTCTTCCTCGGCTGCTGGTGACACCTCTGACAGCACGTATGCGTCCACGTAGCACCATGATGCACACCATGGGGGTATCCCCATCTTCCCCATTGGCATTTGGTCACCCCCAGACCCCCTGGGGTCACCCTAGCCAGGAGGGACCAGGCTGAGAAGAGCCACTGTGAGGAGCCCCGCAGCTCGGCGTGACCCACACGTGCCGTGGCACCAGGAGGTTGGGTGGAGAATCCTTCCCTCACCCTCCACGCCTGCAAGGAGAGGACACCTGGATGTCCCGGTTCCACCAGAGCCCCCAGCCCTGCCTCCCCATGGGGCTGCACAGATTTCAAGCTCCTTCAGGCAGGGAAGGCTGGGGACGTGCGGGGATATTGCATGTGGGGGCGTTCATCATCCTGCCAGTGGAGGAGATTCGTGCCAGGGCCACAAAACTGCTTTTTTTTTAGCAAGGTGCTTGCACGTGTGCTGATGTCTGCATGTAAGCCTTGGGACCCACTCCTTGGAGATCCTACACAGGTCCTCGTGCCATGGTTGGGGATTATGGAACTCCTTGGGAAGATCTTCAAGAAAGTCCTGCTGCCTTCCTATCCTGTTGCTGAAGTGTGCACAGGTAGACCTGGACGCACGCTGCTGGGTCGTTTAGGCCACTTTTCAGGATAAATAGTGGATTCATAGAGGAAGGAAACACCAGGAAAAGTGATGATCCCTACTGGCGAGCCCTTCTGCAACACTACAGAAAACCAAGTTAAAGTTGCCTATTAATGCTCAAAGCTTGTCTTTTTTTTTTCTTTTCTTTTTTTTTTTTTTCATGGAAATATCTGGAAGAAAAACAAGCTCCGGATTTAAATAGCTGGGACAGACTCAAGGGGAATTGTAAACGAGGGAAAAGAAGTGCTTGTATCATTCTTTAAGCATCTTACCAGCCTGTGACTAACACGAATGTATTTAAACTCTGCTGCTCTGTTTATCAGCCGATCTGTCGATATGCCAAGGCTGTTCCCTTCCCTCTCCAAGAGCCGCCACCAGCTCCCCATTTTGCCGTTCTTTCAGCCCAGGCTGGGGCAGGCTCTGGCAACATCGGTGCCTGCTCTGCCCATCAGAACAAGCTCCCAGCCTCCAAAAGAGGTGCAGACGATAGCTGGGGACATCCAAAATAGTCACACGTCCTGAAAGAAGCCAAAGGTGTTGAGTGGCTCCCATCTGGCCCTTAGGGGCAGCCACGGATGGTCTCTGCTCCGTGGGCTCTCCAGCCTGCTGCAGGACCAGCTCCTCCAGGAGAGCCCTTCCCCTTCTCACCTCTCACTGCACAAAACCAAAACCTGCTGCTGCCTGTGCTCGGATGGGTAGTTCTGCATCTCTGAAAATGCACCAACGCTGGAAGGAGAAGGACGAGCATCAAGAAGGAGCTCCGGCTGGCCACAGGCAAGGAGACAGACCTCCGAGGCAAGAAGGAAAGCAGGAATGATCCGATGATGGGTGGCTGAGAGGGCTGAAGCAGGAGAGGAGGCAACACACATGGGTCGGGGCTGCATTTTTGAACAACCACTGTGAGAACTCCATCACTGCCCGGAGCAATGGGCTGTAGTGCCGTGGGGAGGGGGTGATGGCAGCGCAGCCGTGCTGTGACCAGCGCGAGTCGCAGCACGCGGTGTTCCCAGCGGCTCGCAGCTCGTGCCAAGAGCAAACTTTCTGCCTGGAAGGCACCCAGTCCATCTAAGGGCACAAGCCCAAAAAAACACCGGGTTTCTGGTCAGTCTGAAAAAAGAGCAGTTAACGGCTGAGGTTTGTACTTACATAATCCACAACGGG